GTCACAGACTACGGTCTTCGTCGGAGCAGTTAAAGCATTTGGCTGCTGACTGAAAGGCTGACGGGTTTATGCATCAGAAGAAAGGCCACATAATCTCCCCGGGCCCCCTCCACTGGGGGTGGGAGCCGAAGGGTGGGGAAAGTGGAAGGCAGGTGGAAGGTCTGAGGCAGGGGCAGCCAGGTCTCAGTGGGCAGCCAGCAGCTTTAAGAGAAGGGCAGTTCAAAGAAGCTCCGTTTGGGCAGGTGGCCCAGAATGGGGGTGGGGAGACGGGTGAGAGGAGAGAACCCCCAGATGACGAAGGAGGGGATGAGGGAAACATTTTCACAACCAGCCACCCAAAGTGTCCGCTCCCTTTCCTCAAGGTGTCCTTTGGGGGGGGGGGCGGCGGGGGGAGCAGGTTAGCATTGGGCTGCTTACCACGAGGCCAGTCGTTGAAAACACCAGCCAGTCCGAGTGCGAAAGAGGAGGATTTCTACTGTGGTAAAGAGTTACAGTCTCGGATGCCCGGAGAGGCACACTCCTACCCTGTCCTGCAGGGCCACGATGGGTCACAAGTGACATCAGGGCAGGGAGGTTTGCTTTTGCAAACCGGGAACCTCTTCTGAAGGCTGCGGCCCGGTGGCCACCCCATCACCACTCGTTCCTAGGCACACAGCCTACAGCTCCTCTCACTGGGCAGACGTGGGCAGTGGGGACCACAGCGCACACAGGCAAATCTCCCTGCACCATGCTTTGCTTTGCTGTGCTTCTTGGGATTTCAGTCGAAACCCCCTCCCCCATCCTCCCTGCCCCACGCCCCGGACAAGTGAAGGTGGCAGCCCTGCACGGAGCAAGCGATTGGGACCATTTTCTTCCAAGGGCCTGTGCTCACTTTGCGTCTCGGTGTCATGTTAGCCCTCCTCTGTACTTCAGAGTTGTTCAGAATGCTACGGGGCCGTTCATGGAGCGCAGTCTTGTGTACATGTCACGGGTGCATGCCCAGGGAACTGGAAGCATTCATGTGCCGCCCTTTCCTGCAGTCTGGGGCCCACCATGCACTACCTCTGAGGCATGCCTGCACTGGACTGGGCAAATCTGCCGCGAAGGACCTCTTCACGGCGCTAACGCTGACCGTCTGAGGGCTGCGGCGCACCTGACCCAAGCCAGGGTACTTCCAGTCACCTCGGATGCATGAGATGGCTGCGTCACGGATCAGGTGGATTTCAGACAAACGGATGCCTTTCGCTCACTGGTGGAGAACCTTATTTAGACCGTGGACTGCCCAAACAAACAACTCCACCCTGAAGGGCAATCGGCCAGGGCGTTCCTGAAAGCGAAGGTGAGGAGACTTTGTCTCACGTTCTTTCCACGGGCTCTCAGGATTCACGCTTGGTCAAGGAGAGGGCAGTGAAAAGAGAAAGGCCTGCAATGGGATGGGCTAACGCAGGGGCTGCAACAATGGGCTCAACCATAGCAATGCTTTTGCGCGGCGGCTCTCAACCTGGGGGTCGTGACCCCTGTGGGGGTCAAAGGACCCTTTCACAGGGGTCGCCTACAACACATATTTCCGATGGTCTTAGGAACCTATACGCCACTCCTCTATCCGTCTCCAGGCAGGTCCGCCCACATGCAGATACGCCCACATGCAGATACGCCCACATACGAGTACCCGACGTGAAGACTGTTACCCATGCTACCCCATGCTTCAAGACAAAATTTCATTTACTTGTCATTAGAAATAAATATTTCATAATCTATAATTACATATTGTTTTGTGATGGATCACTATGATTTAATTATGTTCAAATTTGTAACAATGAAAATATATCCTGCATATCAGATATTTACATGACAATTCATAACAGTAGCAAAATGACAGATATGAAGTAGCAATGAAAATAATTTTATGGTTGGGGGATCACCACAGCATGCAGAACTGTATTAAAGGGTCACGGCATGAGGAAGGTGGAGACTCACTCCTTTGAGGGTGGTCCAGGGAGGGTGGAGAA